TCAATTTGATTTGTAAAGAACAAAATTCAAGAAAAAATGGCATTTCAAAAGATCAAGGTGGCCAATCCCATCGTTGAGATGGACGGTTAGATTCAGATCTCCCACTTTCTATTCCTATTTTCTGATCATAGATTTATATACCTTATATGAATCTTGGTTTCTGTTAAATCTCGTTGTTTTGTTTTTGCACATGAGTTGACTATAGATCACTTTTTAGAAGGTATTCTGTGTTGTTAGCTCAAATTGTATATCTCCTGTTATGGTCTCAAACTGTATTTTTATTTGCCTTTTGGATTTGCTAGTAAAAGCTGATGGGCCCATGTTTCTATTTTGTGAGATACTTTGAATTCCATGGGATATGTTCTAAGCACAAGTATCACAATCTGCTCTGTTTTACTCGTAGCTATCTGATTTTTAAATAGAATTATTTGAAAGATAAAGTTTCTTCCCTGTGATCATTTCCTATACAGAGCCTGTTTGGTTTGGATTAAAATCTGATTTTAATCTAATTCAAAGTCAAATAATCAATATTAACCACAGGGTCCCACAAATTTTCAATTTCAATCACACATTTCAAAAGTTTCTATCACAATCTACTTTAAAATCTAATTTTAATCCCCATCATTTCCTGATATAATTGCCATTTCAAAATAATCTGTGACGTAGGTGATGAGATGACACGGGTGATCTGGCAATTTATCAAGGACAAGGTGATAAAATTCCTGTTATCTTTTTCAATAAGTTTCATGAAATATATGTGTGACTGACTGATTCACTGGCTGAGTGTGTTTATTCATGACGATGCAGCTGATCTTACCTTTCGTGGAATTGGATATAAAGTACTTCGACCTTGGCCTTCCCCACCGGGATGCTACAGACGACAAAGTAACTGTTGACAGTGCTGAAGCTACCCTTAAGTATGTTAACCCCTGTTTTCAGTTATGAATAAATATTGGACATTTGATAATAGAATATTGATGGGCATTATTATATTTCTTCTTCTTCTAATATTTACAGTATTCAAACAAAATTCGCAACATCTATATTTTTTAATATTCTATCACAATTTTCTTAAATATATATTCGTTCTTCTTCTCTGCTGATGGTAATTTTGTTTGTTGAAATTGTAGGTACAATGTAGCAATTAAGTGTGCCACCATCACTCCTGGTAGGCATGACTCAGTTTAAATTGTTCAATGCTATGCTGTGGATCTTTATCATTTTATCTTTAAATTATGAATGAGATTATCATGCTACTAAATTTTATAAGTACAGATGAAGGTCGTGTGAAGGAGTTTGGTCTGAAGCAGATGTGGAAGAGTCCAAATGGGACAATTAGAAATATTTTGAATGGTAAGGGACTGTGGCCCATCTGCTTTTATTTTGTAAGCATTGTGATCCTTCTTTGTGGCTCGTCATAATTTTCTTTCCCTGCAGGCACTGTTTTCAGGGAACCAATTCTCTGCAAAAATATCCCCCGACTGGTTCCAGGTAATAGCTATTCCATTTTGTTGCTGATTTTACTTTTTCTTTACTTCCCTTTTCTTTTTGGTTTGCTATTTCACTCTTCTATTAGGTTATGGAATATTGCTGAAACTATTTGCTGCTGCATTCAGGATGGACAAAGCCAATTTGCATTGGAAGGCATGCTTTTGGAGATCAATACCGAGCAACTGATACAGTTATTAAGGGAGCTGGAAAGCTAAAGTTGGTGTTTGGTATTGCCTTTTATTCACTTTTTCCTCTTATATGTCTAACAACACTTAAAACGTTTACTCCTGTTCTCTGTTCTTTTACAAGCAATGATATTTTGATTGTTATATCTTATTCTGGGCATGTATGATATCTGTTTCTACAAAGTTTGTGTACAAATAGTTTTATACAGAATAATTTAATTGTTATATTTTTATATTGTAATTTGGTATTGCACTTTTATTCACTTTTGTCCCTCTTAGACCACCTCCTTAAACATTTACTCCTGTTCTTTGAGTAGTAATGAGTAGTTTGATTATTATATATATTTATCCAGGATATTTGTCTTTGTCTATTTATATGGTCATATCTGTTTCTACAAAGTTCTTGTAAAAATATTTTTATAATGAATTTTGTTCTACTTGTATACAGTTCCAGAAGGGAAGGATGAAAAGACAGAAATAGAGGTCTTCAACTTTACTGGTGAGGGTGGAGTTGCTCTCTCCATGTACAACACTGATGAGGTATGATATTTCATAACTTAATAGAGTTTTGACATCAAAGTATTTAATTGCAACACTAAATTATTCCTTTAATGCTTATTCGTGGGACAGTCCATTCGTTCCTTTGCTGAAGCTTCAATGAACACTGCATACCAGAAGAAATGGCCATTGTATCTTAGCACAAAGAATACCATTCTCAAGAAATATGATGGAAGGTATGCAGTATGCATCCTTTAACATACAAATTTGTTATTTATAACATTTGATCCTTAAACTGCTTTCAAATTCCTTATTCTGGGCTGTTAAGCATTATTCTTCCTGAACATAAATCTAGTGGTGTTTTTGGGTTTAGCACGAGTCTTTTTATGTGTGTTTTATCTTTTATTCTTCACTTCGAATGTATTAATCATTTGTTTTTCTTTCTTTGATGGGGTGTAAAGATTCAAGGATATTTTCCAAGAAGTTTATGAATCAAACTGGAAATCCAAGTTCGAGGAAGCAGGGATATGGTAAGCTGTTCCTACCTGT